GAACTAATTCAGGTGGCATCCCTTGAAACATGCCTGTACTGACTTAATGTTGTTATATGTCCTTGGCTTCTATAGAAGGTAAGACTCTAAGAAACAAGAGTGTCAGGATTACCGTCTTTCGAAAAACTACTTATGAAGATAATATCTGGACCCATATGTAAAACGATCTATTCAACATTTCTTTGTGGATGTTCTATGGATACCTCAGACACATTTTTCCCCAAACTGTACTCAACAAGTTCTCAATGATAAGTGAATGACAAGAATATTGAGAGGCTTAAGTGATATTGTGTGCACAATGTTCCTTTTACAATGCTTGGCATATGGTGATTTCTCAATAGAGTTATTTTTTTTCTAAACCTGGAATGGTGGCCCAGTCAACCTATCAGTTTTCCAGGCCAAAGCCTAAGAGTTACCTTGGACTTATTCCTCATAGATGATTAAACTCAAAGATCCACAAATCCCAGCTATGTCAATTATCAGCGTATTGCCCCTCAGTTCTAAATGCACCCTTTATTATATGCTGTATGATAAACAACAGCATGTCTCCTTTAAGTGTGCACCATGTTATGCATTTGCGATAGAGAGCTCTAGACGGATATAACAGGAAAAGGCTTTCTATAACTTCCAGCTTGGGTGGGGAGGTCGCTGTGTAGGTGTCAGAACAACTAAGAGCCTCCACCCCAGCCAAGGGCTCAGACCTTTCTTCAGCCACTTATCCAGTCTTTATCCATTCATCAGTGAAAAAGGTGATTTTTTTTCTGAATTTGATAACAGTTTTTGAATGCTGGAAGAATATTTCCTCAATATATTTTTTTTGTTGTTCTATTACAATGTCACAGCCACAGACATGACTCACTTATAAGTTTAATCTGTCCTTTCAACATATTATCCATTACTTTCTTAAATTTAGACAATCAACAAAGCAGTAAATCAAGCTCTGATCTCTAGTGTTTGCTGATTTCTGTAGTGTAATTGTTGCCACCAGGGTTAATTCCAAGCTACCAACGTGACATCACTGAATGTGCATTTGGAAAGAGATTTGCAGAAGCACACCATCATATCGTATTTCCACCACACAAATGTAATAGTCATAGATAACCTCAAGAGCATACAAAACAGCAAAATGAAGTAAACTAATCAGAAAGTGAGGAGTTTGAGCATATTATCTTCATTTGAAATTTAATTTATTTGGTGTGAAACTAATTTAATTTTAATAATTAACAACTGATCTCAAAATTACTGAAATTGTATTATTCACTTCTTTTGAGCCAGTATCAACCAGTTCCAGCACATCGCTGGATCGGACCTTTGCCTATATTACACAAGTATCTAATTTGCCACCCAGCTTCCCACCCATTCACTGATTCTTCACATTTCAAACATGCACAGGTCACAACCCTCATCCACAATTCCAAATTCAACAAAACTTGGAAATTGGCAGCTGTAGTGCAAATTCACTTTTTGAACCAGCATGAGGTAATTTTGTTTTTAATCCCTCATGTTACCCTGAAAAAATATTAATATGTTTGATTATGGGGGACTCTCCTAGACCTCTATGTGGGGTATGAAATAAATAGTATATTCATTGTTTTTCCTTTCTAAAATATGAAAAATTCTCAATCTGACTCACACAAGGGTTTGGATAAGGGATTGTGGACCTTTAGTGATTTTCGTAAAATATAAATATAGTCATACTTTTTCAGTCATCAGTGCCTCCTCATCGCTTATGGGTTAGAATCTAAGTTCTTAAACATGATATCCGAGGTTTTTAAGCATTTTTCAAGTTTCCTCTCTTCACAGTTCTCACTTTGCCCTCTGATATCAAAGTACTTCTAGGGGTCTGACCAATCATAACTAAACATTGAGCTGGACTCATTATTCACCCCACACCTACACCTTACACTCAGCTAATCTAAGAATCAAAACCCAGTTAATGTAAGGGTGTAATTCGTCTTCCTTGCTCAATCACTTATGTGATCTTCATCTGGCCACTTCATCTTCCCTAGTCTCCATTTCTCATCTGTCAAATGGGAATCATAAAACCAGCAAGGTTTTAGTGAAGATAAAGCAAATTCATGGACATGAAGATACTTTGTAATGTGCTATATACATTAAAAGAGTTTACTCTCATCATTCTGAAAATGGAATGCTTGTTTGAAAGCAGACATTCTTTAAGCTGTTGAATGAGCAACCAAGGGTTTCTCGTCTCCATAAAAGGAACTGAAAGTTGATGTGTGCATAAAGCCCAGTCATTCCTATCACACACACATACACAAAGGACTTATGCTTGAAAAGAGTCTTGTGTGGTTCATGGGGTTGGAAAAGTTCGTCTAATTAAACCCTCTGTAACTCATAAGGACTGAATGGATGGGTCTCATCCCATAAGAAAAAAGAGAAAAGGGGACTAGAGTAGCCCCAGGCTCTTATCTATCTGGGTCCCAATGTTTATATTTTTGTTTAGTTTCCTTTGTTTGTTTTATTTTGTTTAGCTGTTGTTATTTGGGGGATTTGTTGTTTATTTGTTTTTGCTATTGCCTTTACATTTCCCTGAATTAGTGGATAAGAAAAAAATGAACAAAAGATTTAAGTGTGAAAACTCATTCAAAACCTCTATGCAAGCCCCTCCTTTGACAAACAGCCTCTCATCTTCTGCTTGAAAAGTCACAATGACTGAGAGTGTATTCATTTAGTCCAGATGCCTGAACCATCTTTATAACCGGCAGCTCTTTCCATTACAAGAAGGCAGTCTGAACTAGCTATAAGGCTTAACAGGCAAAGAAAAGAAACTGGAAAATTCTTACTAAGGTAGAAATGACTGAAATTAGAACTTTTCTTAAAAATAGCTTTGATAGAGGGTGGAGGGGGGAGATGTAAAAGGATTTGGGCATAGAGGAAGACCAAAAAGAACACAAAAAGAACTACCTTTTAAAGAGGAGAAATGGGTTCCAAGTACAAAGGAAGAAAATCTGAAAGCAAAAACAAGCAAATATGATTATTTGAAATTCCATGTACACAGGACACATCCCTCATTGTTCTCTTTAATATAAATGGATACAACAAAACAAAGGAGAAATACAAAACTAACTGCCAGACAGTTCTTATCAACACTTGGAGCTTCCTATTAGGTTTAGAGCTAGGTGCAAAACTTGGGACTTTGGGACACAGCTGTTCATATTTATATGAAAACTCTTGGTTTTGCCAATAATCCTATTTTATGTTAAATCAAGCACAGAACATTGTGCTAAGCCTCAATGCAGATCACACAATCTGATTCATCTTTGGACAATTGATACCTACAGGTCTTTGTAATCACTAAATATAACATTCAACAAACAACAAAAACAACAAAAGTTGTTTCTATACAGATAAAACCAAGCAATTAAAATATGCACTATTAAAGAAAATATTGATTCTATTATCTGAGAATTCAGAAACAGCCACCACTTGATTTTGAAAGAGCACATTTGTACATTCTTTCTTATAAATGAAATGCACTGTAGAAACAAAATAGGTGTTTACTTCTTATTTGACCTTCAGAATTTAAGTACACATCTGTCTTAATCAAGGAGACTTTTCACTTTCCTATGTCAAATTTTACTCTGTGCATAGGAGGTGGGCAGTGAGGAATGAAATGTAGATTGGTAAAAGTGAATAAATGAATATCTTGAATTATAGACTTTTTATTTATTTTCAATGCAGAAGTGATAGAGATATAGATAGTATAAAAATAAAGGCAGAGACTACCAAAAAAAAAAGACCTTTACCAATAGTTAGTATTTGTAAACAGAGGAGGGACAATAATGTCTATTGAAAATCCACTATGTACTGGGGACTTTGCTAAGAATTTTACAATGTTATCTCATTTACTCCTCATAACAACTCCTCAGGTACATATCATTACCTCCAATTTATAGGTGAAGAAACAAATGCTTAGAAATTGTTAGGTTGGTTTTCAAAAGTTTATTTTCATTCAATTCTTGGAACCCATTTGAAATAAAAATATAATAGTGGTCAATAACGTGGACTTACAGGTGATCTGGTTCTACGTTCCATTGATTGAGGGATGTGTTCTGCTGGCCTCAATGGTTAACCATTCAAGTGCTGCCCCCTTGAAACTTAAGCAAATAAGATGCCCTGGCCATTGGTGAAGGATTAAATGCTTCTTCACACAAGGTATAGGAATTACTGAGCTTTACCTTTAGTGACCATGTTACTAAGCCAGAAAACTCACTGAACCAATTAAGCATCTGAAATTGAGTTCTAATTTCATTAAATATTTACTATTACGGATTCTATAGCAGAAAGGAGGTGACTCTTTTCCTTAACATGTGAATATTTTACTTATCACTGTAAAAACCATGGTATTCTAATATTTTCCTGGTGGGTGAAGAAAAGGTCACACAGACACTAGAGTTTCAGGTCAGGACAGAAAGACAATCATCTTCATGAGGTTATTTGCAATGAGAGCCCTTATGGCTCAGATAAGGCTTGAGTGTGAATGGAAAAGTTAGTAAAGTGATATGGACTTAAGTATTAGCCTTGGTTTTCATCCTAACTCTGGACAGGTGGTCTGTCTTCTCTATGCTGAATGATTTCCTAGTTTTGCTGCTCATATTATTGTATACAAGATAAAATTCAAACTGTATATGTTGACTTCATTGATCCTCTTTCTAACTTTCCTTTTCACTGTATGCAGAATGGGATGTTTAATAGCCTAATATGGTTAGAGGGAGGATACTTGTAAGAGATTGAAACTGGAGAGTTAAGTTAAAAGGACTTATACAATAAACCTTGAGAGCAATGATGGGGGCCTGACCTGAGGTAGTTATAGCAATGGTTGAAGGAAGCGACTAGCCTGGAAAATAGTTGGTCATCCCCGATAGCCATCGGGTACCATAAAAAGAAATTCTTCCACAGGTCAATCTCCTGTTCTGTTATCATGGTGTCAGGAAACATGCTAGATTTCCACTGCCCTTCACTGAGCCATATCTACTCACTCTGTCAAGAGCCAGAAGCCTTGAATTTTCTCTCCAGAAGTCTTGGCTATGTGGCCTTTCAAGTCTTCCATGGCAGTCTCAATGGCCCCTGGCTGAGTGGGAAAAAGAAAATACCTAGTTAAGAGAAGACTGAGTCATTTTTGTGCTTGCGATTAATTATTACATCCCTGCAGCTCCTCCAGAAAGCTGAGAAGGAAAGATTGTTCTTGCATTTGCCTGTTTGTTCCAGGCACAATCTGCCAAAGAGCTTAGCCTTGAACTCTGGTATTTACTAAGATGTTCTCCCTGGGTGGGGCAGAAGTGACCTACATCCTGTCTTCTGTAATCTTACTCACACTTTCTCATAGAAATGAAGACAGCCATTTTCAGAGGACCAGTTTTTCTAAACGAATATGTTTATCAGGAAGTTCAAAGCATTTAGCAATATATACACTATTAAAATCAAACCTCTCTCTCTTCAAAGACCACATGACAATAAAACACAAAAGAGAAATCTTTTTCCAATATTCTGGCCATAATTTTAGCTGAACTTTTTCATCTTCTTACTTTTCTTCACCCTTCTCCAAGCAGGTGTTAGTACTTATGGGCCTACCTCTAGCTTAAAAATTGATTAATCCCTGTGCTAATAAGAGATTCATAGAAACTCTAGCTTAGTAATTTTTTAAACTTCAGTGCACATCAGAATCACCTGAAGTGTGTTTTAAAACACAGATGTCTAAGTACTGTCCCCAGAGTTTCTGGAGCGGGTTTGAGAATTTGCATTTCTGACAAATCCCAGGTGATGCTTTTGGTGAGGGACTCTACCATGAGAACCATTGCTCTCTAGACAGTTATTCTCAAGCTTGGCTACACATCAGAGTCACCAAGTAGGCTTTAAAAAAAAAAATCCTAACATGCAGGCTGTGTACTAGGACAATTACATTTGATACTCAGTGGATTGGACCCACATATCAGTAAGTCAGGATTTTTAAAAGCATTTCAGATGACTCCAATGTGTAGTCAAGGTTGAGAATGACTATAGCCTAGGGCTTATTTAGTGTAAGCCATTTCATTTTATAGGTGTAGAAACAGGGATCATTACGGGAAAGTAACTTGTCAAGTTCACTAAGCTAAGAACTGGCAGAGACAAGAAACCCAAACCTTCCATTTCCAGGCCTACAATGCAGTGCTGGCCTCATTCCCATGCCTGGGCTACTGACACATAGCTTGCAAGTTCTCATATATTCTCTATATAATAGGGCTTTAATGCTAAGCACCTAAACTTCTCTAAATATTAACAATCCTAATCCTTTCAGCCTGAGACCTTTCTCTTATAAAAGGAAAAAGGGACACTAGCCTAGTCAAGAACCATTCAATTTCCTTCCAAAGGTAGGGTGGTGGTAGAATTTCGGTTTCCTTATTTTCTCCGTCTATGATAAAAAGCTTTGAAACATTTTGGCTATGGAGTCCACCAGTCAAGAAAAATCTTATACAGGATTCCATACAGGAAAAACAGGAACAGAATGGGGCTGCTTCAGATACGCAGTAGTCAAGGTGCAGAGCTTTATCTACTCAATTCTCTCCTCTCCTCCAATTTACTGCACATAGCCAGAGTTAGCCGGGAAATGGACAGATCAACTCCTAAACAGAGTAGGAGGACGTGGGTTTGTATTCCAGTTCTATCATGAATGAATTTTGTGACTTACAGCCAATTATCTGGTTTTCCTTGGCCTCTATTTCCTTGTCTATAAAACAACTGAATAAACTAAACCAAAACTTTCTAAGCCAACCCGATGATCAAAACCTCCTGTAAATCTTTTAGAAAATATAATCATAGAAATTACATCAGGAGATTCTGATTCTATCATTTTAACAAGTTTTCTGTTGAATTAGATGGTCAGCCAGTGGAATAAATGATTTTGACTCTCTTGTCATCACACGCCACTGGTTGAATGGTTGTTAGAAAGCTAATATTGCACCCCATGCTGCTGAAACTGTGTTATGAAATCAGTAAGTTCCGGGACATTAATCAAATATGCCTCGAGCTCTCACTGACAGAGGAGGTTGTTCCACCATCCTACTGGAAGGACTGGACTACCATGCAGGGAACTTTTCTATGATCCCATGACAATTCTCCCATCACCCAATCTCAGCTTCCCAGGATGCAGCCTGATTCTATCAGGACCCCTAGTCAAAGTCTCTGAAAAATAATACTTTCTGTGATGATTCATCTTCAGTATTTTTCCTGTCTCTCTTCCTATGTTCATATAATATCTGTCACAGTTAATATAATTTGGCAGTGAAACTAATACTTTTCAGGAGAAAAAATCATAAATGGAATTGAAAAATAATTAAATAATTCTAAAATAAGCATTTTGTTGAATGTTTTTCTGCCAGGCACTTTGCCAAAAATATTTGAAGATGAATACAATAATGTAGAATTTTTCAAAACCTTACCATCTTCTCTATATAAAGCAATTGGCAAAATCTATTAAAGTGATCTATCCTTTGATTCTCATACTCCACCTCTGTGAAGTTATATTATAGATATTCTTGCATATATACAAAATGACATATGAATAAAGTATTCATTGAAGCCTTGTTTGTGGAGAGCAAAAATTTTGAAACAAATCAATATCTATTAATAGGAGACTAGATGTATTTTGGGACACAACTATACAATGAAATATGATCAATATAGTTTAAAATGAGGAAACTTACATTAACTTGGAAAGTTTTCAAAATATATTATTAAGTGAAAGGAAAAAAATGTTCAGAAGAGAGGGTAAATATGCCACCTTTTATATAAAAGGAGAAGAATGGATAAGAATAAATATTTGTGTTTGCTTGTCTATGTCTAAAATAACTCTAAAAGAATATAAGAAACTGTTGCCAATGGCTCCCTAAGGGTGGGGAAGAAACATGATGGATGAGAACAATAAATGGAGGTGGTGTTTTACTGTACACCTTTTCAAAATTTAAATGGTAAAATTAAAGTGTGTTCTCTATCAAATGGTTTGGAAGTCTCTGGAGTTCTGTCAATGTCCTCACTGGCTGTGATGTTATTTCTTCAGTAGAAACATCGGTCACACCCTGGTGGAACAGTTACACATTATACTCCAGTGAAATATTTTACTCTCCTCCACTTGTTATTATTGGTACTATAATAAATTAACTTCAGCCATTTAGTGTTTGAAATGAAATAAAAGATATGAACACTTTGACTTGTGTTGAGGACAAGGTATAAATTTCAGCTTTTCTGCTTGTTTGAGACCCATGTTAAGTCATTTTGTAATTCTTTACATCAGTTTACTCATTTGTTAGGTGGATAAAATAATATTATTTGTAACTGAGCTGTTGGGACCCTGAACAATGAAAGATTTGGTAACCCTGAACAATGAAAGATTTTATTTTCATTCTTATTGATAATATAAATAGAAAGGAAGAGGAAGTAGTCGTACCAGGGTTTGGGGATCAAATGATTACTGCACTGGAATAATTAGTTCTGAGACTCATTACAGTGTAATAGGAAATAATGACAAAATAATATTTACTTATCACATGATACAAGAAAGCTTAGAAAGGTTATATATATTAAATTTTAAGAAAAAATCATTTGAAGGATGCTTATTTTTAAGTCATTGTATAGCACAATGGGCAATATCTTCTCTAATAGACTAGTACTGAATATTTTCAGTCAAAACAAGCCTATCGAAAGTTTCAAAGACATAAGTCTTCATTTCCTTTTCTTTCCTTGAACTAGACTAGCCTGGGGCCAGCTGTTATACAAACAATACTCGTGTCCGCTTCTAATTTTTTCCCATGTACTAGACTCCTTATCGAGATAGTAAAAGGAAGAGGAAGTATAGGATGGAATGCTCCTATGGACTCAGACACAATATGAGCTGTCTTATGGGTGTCATCATGCCCATATAGGATTGCTTTGTGGTAAATATATAAAGTAAGAAAACTAGCTCTAAATTGTATGTGATTTGTAAAATCCAAGCAAGTTTCTCTGTCCCTGAAAATAAAGAAAATACATCTTATTTCATTATTGTCAAATGTCTGCCCTCAAAAAGAAACATCATCTTTATTATAACCCTCAAGGGATTTTATCGTAAGGAGGAGAATCAAGAAAACTTTTGCCCAGTGAGATATATAATTTCTAGACCAGAAAGAAGCTCACACAGACAGTAATAATACAAATAATATATTTAGTTGTTCCCAATGCAAGAGCAAGACACAGGGAACCCTATAGTAAGAGAGGAGAGAAAGGCAAAGGGTATGAAAGCCAAATTAGTGTCATGAAAGCAACGACATCTTGCTACACAATGGGAAGTCCCAAACCTGCTTATTAAAGTCTCGTTGCTCACAATAGAACATAGGCTATAAAAAGGCCATGGGGAACCATTAATTAAATATTAAAAGATCAAATAGTTTCGGTCCCATTAATTTGTATGTAATTTACATTCTCAAGTATAAATTTAGAGATAATTCCTCATCCCTAATCGCTTTCAAATTTCTGATAAGGTATCTGCAAATATAGAGTCCTACAGGGAGTTTAAAAATATCTTTCCCCATGTGGATTAAGTATTGTTTCTTTCATAAGAAGTTGCTTTTGAATATGTCTCCACAATAAAGTGATTATCATAATATACCTCGAATTATTAGCCTTGAGGGGTACTTTTGTTCAGAGAAGGCACTAGGCCATTTTTAGATATGGCTAAGCAATAATAGAAAATGAACTAAAACAGGAGGAAAAGGTTATCCAAGTGGACTGACAGCAAGTGGTTCAGACCTTCATTACTGTGGCCTCTCAGTCATTGCCCAAGGTCAGAGTCAGTGGAGGAGTGGTGGAAAGTGAAAGGAGTCCAGTCTCACTGGCCCCTAAGTTTCCAGTTGACCTTGGACAAGTCAAATCTTCTTTATGTGTTTCAGGGGTTGGATTAGGTATCTCTGAGGCCCTTTCTGAATCTGAGTAAAAATGTTGCTAAGCTATATCAGAAGGGCACATTTTTAGTAAATAAAAAATAGGCTGGAAGCCTGAGGAAAGGAAGCAACATCTCAAAGTGACCATAAAAGGTTTGAAGGACCCCATCAACTTCTTTTATAATCTGGTATTCAGAGGTGTGACCTAATGCATGAGGTTATGATGCTAAAAAATGTCTCTTGTTTGTCCTGAGTTAATTTATACTTCCATAGCAGTCACATTTTTGCATATCTAGCTTGAAACTCATATAATCGATCCTCCTTTTTATTATAGCATCGGGTGTCTACTCTTGGCATCAGAGACATTGAATACCATTCTGCCACAGCAAGCCAAGAAATAATTTTTCTTTTCTGGTTAAAAGGTATAAACAAGAAACAACCTAAATACCCAGCAAAAGTTAAATTAATTGTAGCCCATTTTCATGGTGGGATATTATGGAGTTATTAAATGTAATGTTATAGAAGTATATTTATTGACATAGGAAATAATATTTTGCATATAATCCCATTTTTGCACACATTGAAAATGCAAAAAAAAAGGTAAGAAGGGATATGCACCAAAGATTTTCTTCACAGCTATATCTCACAACTTAATTTTGCATATTCAATAAAGTTCACATACTTTATAAAACAAACCATATGCTCTATATATGCAAAAACACTCACACAAACACACTCATAGTATAACACCTACCAAGGTACCTTGCACGAAAGAGTCACGGAATATAGGTGATATGAGTATATGTTATCATCAAACACACACATACACATACCTACCACACACATTGAGTTGCTTTAGTCAAAACTTTATCTTAAGTGAAAATATATTTTAAAAGCTACCAAATTAGGTTTCATTGGTTAAAGCTTTATAAAGTCACAAAGTCTTAACCACCATTTAATGGTAAAATTGAGTTGAAAAAAATTTTTTTCAATGAGATGTCCCATGCACACTTGAAAAATGAATTGGTCTCTGTCGCCACTGTTCGCAGCCCCCGATTTGACGCCAAGTGATTGCAGCCTATGAGCTAACCACTACTGTATTGACAAAGATGTTGAACGATTGGGAAGGAAGATCTCTAAGTATGAAGGCGAGTTCAAGATAGAGAAAGGTACTAGAAACCAGTGAAGAACTCTCTACTTGATTCCAATGATAGAAGTTTTAAATATCATTTTTTTAAATCTAGATATACAAACTTGGTCCTCATTACCCATCCAACCATTTCTCAGCTCCAATGCACAGAAAAGAGAGTTCAGCTCCAGACTGTAGCTAGTTTGGGGATTTAAAAGTTCCTGCTCCCACACTGCAATACCCACATCCCGATATAGACCCCTGAGGTTCAGATTATTCTCAGCAAGCATTTCCACTCCATCACCCATGTCATTTACAAACATATAACAAATATCCACTCTAGGCTCATTGCTTTATATTCTAGTTGCTCTGATTCTCTCTTCATAGAACATTCATTGAGGTCAGTTTTAGCACGAACATGGGACTGAGGAGCCAAACATCTATGGAGACTGAAGAACTTGTGTCTCCTTGGTACTATGGTCATCAAAACTAGCCCCTTAAATTCTCTGAAATTCAAATCCTTCGCCTGTAAAATTGAGATAAAGATACCCGCTTCACAGTTATTGTAACTAATACTTGAGATAACAAATGTGAAAATACATGGCAAAATATATGGTATATAGAAAGATATTAGGATGTTTTGAAGAGAATACCTTATGTAGCATTTAAGAACACAAATGATTTTACCCGTGTAACGAAGTACTTCCGTGAGATATAAGGCCGGTGATAAGGATTGGGGTAGAGTGTTGATTTGGTCACGCTTGGCTGCCTTGAAATCTGCTTTGGCATTGGGTCCTTGCCTGGGTCCCCCTCATCCACAGACAGTTGGTCAGTCTCTGAGGGTTGGTCATCTCCCTCTTGCTTCAGAGAAACAGGCTGGAATCCTTCAAAACTCCCAATTGTTGACATTTCTTTAGCCTAAAACAAGGGAAAAAACAAACTTGTCAATAGAAAAAAAAAAATTCACTTGTGTCCTGGCTCTGGCAAATAGGCTACATGAGTAAATGATGTTCTTGAAACTGTTAAACCTTCCACATATTAACTAAACAAGGGTAGCATCCAGTCAAGATGGCAGAGTAGGTAAATGCTGTTCTTGCCTCCTCTCACGATTACATCAAAATTACAACTAAATTACAGAATAGCCATCATTGGAAGTTCCCTGAAGTCTAGCTGAACAGAAGTTCTACAACTGAATACAGACAGAAAAGGCCACCTCAAGACTGGTAAGAGAAGCACAGACATGAAATAGGCTAGTCCCCATACCCACATGTTAAGAATAGGGAGAAATATCTCAGCTGCAGAGATCCCCTGGAAAAGCATGGGGGTTCCAGACCCACACTGAGCTCCTCAGTTTATGATTCCAGTGCCAGAAAGAGAAGTCTCCACAACTTCTGGCTGTGAAAAGCAGCAGAGTTTGTGACAGAGTGAGACCAAGGGCTGAGGGGGGGTCACAGATTTTTCTCTTAAAGGGCCCGTATATGAGCTTACTCGCTGACAAACTCACTTGCTCTGAGTTCCAGTGCTGGGGCAGCAGTTTGAAAGGCGCCTGGGACATATGGGGAGGAAATGAATTGCCTGGCTTCAGGGAGAGGTCTGGAGGGGCAGCTCTCTCCCAGACAGAAGTGCTGAAACCTAAACAAGCAGCAATTGTCCTCAGTGTGCCCCCTACTTCTTGCTGAGTGGCCCCCAAGCTCAACAATAATAATAGCTAGCCTTGGTATGTGGCTTGGCCTCTCAAGGCACTTCCAAGCCCAGAATGGGTGATGGCTATCTGCAGATTGCTTGATGGCTCATGCCAGGTGTCTCCAATGGGGCATAGGCTATGGTTGAGCTTGGCCTGTGACAGGTCCCCTCTCAGGAGGCCCTGGCCTGCATGCCAGGTCTGAGCCAGAGTAGCACCCAAAGTCACATCTGAGGATGACATATTCAAAGGGCAGACAGGATAGACACAGAGCCCAGCTAAATGGATCCCACTGTATAGGGCCAGCCCCCACACAACTCTTCCACTGGTTATTGCTAGTCATCATAACCAATCATCCCAAGAGTCAATCCCTCCCATTAATGAGCAAATAGCAACCAAGGCTCAACTATAACTGGAGGACACACACATAACCCATACAAGAGATGTACCTGGATCACCTGACTCAAGTGACCAGGGAAGGGAAGACTATGCCATTGGGATGCATAGCACATCTTCTGTATAAGGTCACTCTACTAAGACTGGGAGACATAGCAGGCCTACCTAAACACAGAAACAAACACAAATACAAAGCCAGAATTGGAAGACAAAGAAACAAGTCCCAAAGGAAAGAACAGAACAAAGCTCCAGACAAAAAGAACTAAACAAAATGGAGACAAGCAGTTTATCAGAAGCAGAGCTCAGAACATTGGTTATAAGGATTCTCAATGAACTTAGGCAAAGAGTTGATGAATTCAGTGTGAACTTTAACAAAGAGATAGAAAACATAAAAAAGAACCAGTCAGAAATGAAGAATAGAATAACTAAAATGAAGAATATCTTAGAGGAAATCAACAGTAGATTAGATGAAGCAAAAGTCTGAATAGCAATTTAGAAGGTAAGATAGCAGAAAACACCCAATCAGAGCAGCAACAAGAAAAAAGAATCCAAAAAAAAAAATGAGGATAATTTAAGGGGCCTCTGGGAAAACATCAAGCTAAACAATATTTGCATCATAGGGGTACCAGAAGTAGAATGAACACAAGGAATTCAAAACTTATTTGAAGAAATAATGAAGGAAAATTTACCTAATCTGGTGAAAGAAATAGGCATACAAGCCCAGGAAGTGCAGAGAGTACCAAACAAGTTGAACTCAAAGAGGCCCACACCAAGACACATAATAATTAAAATGCCAAAGGTTAAAGAGAAAAAGAGAATCTTAAAAGCAGCAAGAGAAAATCAGTTAGTTACCTACAAGGAAGCTCCCATAAGATAGTCAGCTGATTTCTCAATAGAAATTTTGCAGGCCAGAAGAGGTTGGCATGAAATATTTAAAGTGAGGAAAAGGAAAGACTTATGACCAAGATTACTGTACCCAGCAAAACTATCATTTAGAATTGAAGGACAGATAAAGAGCTTCCCAGACAAGAAAAAGCTAAAGGAGTTCATCATCATCAAACCAGTATTATAGTAAATGTTAGAAGTACAGTTAAAGAAGGAGAAAAAAGAAAAAAGGAAAAAAATATATGAATAGTAAAATGGCAATAACTAGGTATCTAGCAACAATTACTTTAAATGTAAATGGATTAAAGGCTCCAATTAAAAGAGTGTGTCTGAATTGATAAGAAAACAAGACCCTTACATATGCTGCCTACAAAAGACTCACTTCAGATCGAAAGACACACACAGGCTGAAAGTAAATGGATGAAAAAAAAGATGTTTCATGAAAATGGAAGCAAACAAACAAAAAGCTGGGGTAACAATACTTATACTAGACAAAATAGACTTTAAAGCAAAAGCTATAACAAGAGACAAGAAAGAACTCGGTAATTCCACTTTTGGGTATTTATTTAAACAAATCCAAAACACTTCTTCAAAGAGAAATGTGAATCTAGAGGTTCATTGTAGCATTATTTATAGTAGCCAAGATATGGAGGATACCTGAGTGTCCATCAGTGGATGAATTTATAGAGAAGAGATGATGTATATATACAATGAAATATTACTCAACCATAAAAAGAATTAAATCTTGCCATCTGCAACAACATGGATGATCCTAGAAAGTATTATGCTGAGTAGAGTAAGTCAGACAGAGCAAGACAAATGTCATATATGGAATCTAGAGAACCAGCTAAAGAAACAAATAACAGAATCAAGCTCATAGATACAGAGAGTATTTTGATGGTTGTCAGATTGGGGGCTTGGGGGATAGATGAAGGAGCAAGGGGATTAAGAAGTACAAATTTGTAGTTACAACATAGCCATGGGGATGTAGAGTATAGCATGGGGAATATCATCAGTGCTATTATAATAACTATGTATGATGTCAGATAGGTACTGTATTTATCAGAATGATCACTTCATAAGTTATATAAATGTCTAATCACTGTGTTATACACCTAAAACTAATATACTATTGTATGTCAACTATAATGAAAAATATATATATATAATTTTTAAAAAAAATAAACAGGGGCACTGATGGATGCAATTTGATTACACAGACTCCACAATCCTGCAGGGCTATTCTCTGGAAAGAGAAAAGGAACCTGCAAATAGTTCTGTTTTTCATCTTTATTCTCAGGAGATAGGAAGCTGAACAAGGGAAGAGATTTCATAGCATTTTTGCCTGAAAACACACTGGCCTGAAAGTTTATTTAGGAATTAAAAGCAATGATAATAGTGCAACTTCTTTTGTGTTTCTTGGTTAGTAATAGGGCACAAAAGCACTTAAAATTGAGCATGTTTTTAACTGACACATCACAATTCTAAAAATGTATGCTAAGGAAATAATTTAGACAAATGCTCAAAAACATAATATAAAAAATTATTCATCACTATGTTGTGTCTAATAGCAGAAAAATATACCATTTTATGTCTAATAGCAAAATATTGTACATAGTAGCAACATTAGACACTCACACAACATTGTATCTAATACTAAAAAAAAAAAAAAAAAACAGTGAAACTAAGTACTATCAGTAGGGAATTGGTTAAATAAGATATGTTATACCATGCAATAAAATACAATGTAGTCATTAAAAATGTGAGGGTATATTTTTACCATGAAAAGATGTCCAAAATATATTGTTAATGAGAAAAGTAAGTTATAAAATATTATGAATAATGTTATTCAAATTTGTTAAAATAATTCGGAAGGAAGGAAGGAAGGAAGGAAGGAAGGAAGGAAGGAAGGAAGGAAGGAAGGAAGGAAAGAGGGAGAGAGGGAGGACCTGGACTTATATATGTATATACATGTATGATATGAGAAAGGTTAGAAAAAGTTTAAAAAGTAAAATAAAATATTAGCAGTGGTTATCTGTGGATGATAAGGTTGCAGATAATTTTTTTTTTCTGTTTTCATAAGTCCCTAGATGCTTACAATGATTGTATATGTCCTAAAATAAATAAAAACAGAGTATGTTTATTTCCATTTTGTAAATATAAGGCAACAGAAAACAAAAGGAAACATAAGGCACATGGAACCTTGTAAAAAGTATGCCTAAATCAGTTCTCTATTTTCAATCTGAGGCCACATAGCCATTCCTACAGTGAGCAAAGCACCAATGCCACGCAGAAGGAGGTTTCTCAGACCCAGCTTCACTGTGTAACTGGGAATGGCATCTTCTTCTCAGGGCTGCCTCAGTGTTCTTAATCAGACAAATTCAATTTCCTTTGTTCTCGTGAAATATCAGAAAGTGAGAAACAGTCCCTATCCCCAGCAAGTTTACACTCTTGAAATTGAGATTAATTAGAGTATTCAAAAGAAGTAAAAATAGTATGAACATATAATTTGTTGCTTAAACCTGGACACTTTTAAGCATGAAAAGGGTGCTATTAACAATTATGCCAGGGTGATGGGAGTAAACTGGGATTGTCTCAGGCAAATGTGGACATATACATTCACCCTGAGGGATATTGGAGAAAACAGTTGGTTAGGAGAACTCAAGAGTGAAGAGTCCTCTGCGATCACATTGCAGGTTATCTCATCGGATTCTCCCAGCAAGCCTAGAAGGATGATGTCAACTCTATGTCTCTGGGGATCACAGAGTTGGTGGGGCCAATGCAGAGTCACTTGAATAGTTAGGGCAGCACCTGGCTCCCACCAGGACTCCCAGCCATGCTTTGAGTCCAGCACATCACTGTGATGCACACTATCTTACAATAGGATGGGATTCACTGAATTTGCATGTAATTTTTTTAAAGTGTACAAAAGGCAGAAGAGATTGGCCTGTGAGAA